AACGGATTCAACTCGGCAGGGCAGCGTTCGGGAAATTACTTTCTCAATTTGTACAACCAGTGCGTGTTGCCAGTGATGACTTACGGATCTGAGACATGGTCCTTCACTGCTGGCCGTATGAGGAAGCTCAAGGTCGCTCAGCGAGCAATGAAGAGGGGTATGCCCGGGGTTTCTCTGCGTGATAAACTTAGAAATGAGTATATCCGCAGTAGAACTAGAGTAACCGACATAGCCCAACGGATTAGTAAGCTGAGGTTGCAGTGGGTCGGCCATATAGGTCGAAGAACCGACAACCGATGGGGAAGAAAGGTTCTTGAGTGGCAGCCTCGTACCGGTAGGCGAAGTGTAGGGCAACCCACCACGAGATGGAGTGACGACCTGGTAAGACATGCAGGAAGTCGATGGATGCAGGTGGCTCGTGCTTTGTGGCATTCCTTGGGGGAGGCCTATTATCAGCAGTGGACTTATGAAAGGCTGTAATGATGATAATGATGAATTACAGAAAAGAGATTGAAGAAGGCGTGATTAATGCTCCCTAGGGGTTCCCTGCCAATAAACCTATAAGTAAGCAGAGAACACTATTTTCAACACTATTTTAGACACTATTTTATGGTTCAATAAATTAACCGTAAATATGGCTCAATAATATTATTGTAATTGAGGCTCAGTAATATTATTGTTCGCGACGGTTTAAAGACTTTAAGCAAAAAGTGATTAAAGAATATTAAAGTGTTTTAAAAAGTGAAATTAGCGACAAAATCGAACAAATTGTGTTTTAATATAGTTTTACAGTATGTTTACAACTCGTAATATATTTGTATAAAGTATCGTTTTAATAATAAGTTGATATAAACGACTTTAAACATTAAATAAAATTTCGACCAATCACAGCGCAGCATATCGTGGAACTTTCTAGAAGTTAATTAACTGCGCAATAGTTTATATGAAAATAATGAGAATATTTTTATGGTCTGAAAGAATTGTAAATACGATATTTAGTTAGCATATGATGTATAGATTGAAATAAGTAAATAGATAATTTATGTAAATAAACGCATTTGAGAAATATAGTAAAATTAAAGATTTAATGTGCACTTTTGTTATGTAAATTAGGTACATTTTGATTAATAACTTTTTTGAATGTAAATATATCAAGTAACCCTTATCACGTAATGATAAAGGACCAAAATGCCTCTTTTATAGTGTATAGCGTGTTAATGTAAAAATTAGCATTATATAGAAAAATTGCGATTTGTGCAAATTACATAATGAAAATGTTTGATAATAAAAAGGCAAAACCGGAAATTGGCAAGCGGCTCTCTATAGAGTATAGCCGAAGTCTACCTTATGGGGGCAAATCACAGTAACATTGTAGTAGGAAGAACTACCAGTAACAAGCAGTAGTATCCGGTAGTAGCTGAAGTGACTAGTAGCAGAACACAGTGAAAAGTTAAAGTGAAATAGAAAAAGTTTAGCTAACCGAAAAAGGACGTAACTGAAAAATCGCAGTTACACATAGTCGGAAAAAAGTGGCAACTGAAAATTCTCAGTTGCATATAGTAAAATAGTGTTAGCTAGCTGAAAAGAGTGGTAACTGATATTCGCAGTTACATATAGTGAAAAAGTGTTAGCTAGCCGAATAAAGTGGTAACGGAAATTTCGCCGTTACATATAGTGAAAAGTGTTAGCTAGACGGAAAAAGTGGTAACTGATATTCGCAGTTACAAAAGTGTTAAATTCAACTAATTTTAGTTGATTAATAGCTGCTAGTCAGTAGTGTTAGAAAACCAGCTGCTACCAATAGAAATTTTGGATACTACCAATAGAAATTTGTAGAAATTTGTTACTTTCAATAGATATTTAAAATTACCAATAGAAATAGTAGAGAATACCAATAGAAACTTGTTACTGCCAATAGAAATTTGATATTACCAACAGATATTTTGAAAATACGAATAGAAATTTTAAAAAACCAATAGAAATTTTAATATTACTGTGTGTTTAATTAAATCTGTGTTTTGAAATATATAGTGAACAATCATAGTTGAAAAACAGTGTTAAATAAATAAATAACTTATAATATTTCGTGACTAATTAATCAGTCGAACCGCTGGCCACTCCCTTGCTATTTTAATTTATAAATCGTGCATTTTTAATTCTGAACCTCAGTCCACAGTTCTCCAACAGCATACACAAAGGCGGTAGTGAAAGTATCCACCGAAACCTATAGGTGTAGGACGTGAGCGGCTCGCGGAGTATCTTCGACAACATTTACTCCGGAGAGTTACGCCCGTCCGGCACATTCGTTGGTCCTTCGAGCCGGATACTTCTGTTTAAACTCCGAGCCGAGGCCAACATTCGTTGGTCCTTCGAGCCGGATATTCCGTTTTTACATCGAGCCGAGTCCAGCATTCGTTGGTCCTTCGAGCCGGATACTTCCGTTTATACATTGAGCGAGTCCAGCATCCGCTGGTCGTACGAGCTGGGATACTTCCGGTTATACTTCGAGCCGAGTCCAGCATTAGCTGGTCGTACGAGCTAAATCCCTCATCCGTTTGTATTTCGGAACCGGATACATAGACACTACCGTATTAAAGTCAGTAGAATTTTCAGAATCAAGATGCCGATCACTCGTTCGCAAGGAAGGGGAGCCATGGCGTGGACCGTCGGTCTGGAAGGAGGCCCGTCGGACAATACCGACGCCGTCCGCCACCAGATGCCACCACGCTCACCATCGACCAAAGAGGGCGTTGAGGCGCCACCTTGCCCCCGCGATGGGGGGGTACTCCTGCCCGTGCCGGCCACTACAACCGGTACACCGAAGCAGATGAAGCATATAGAGGGCAACGATGACATTCGATGTGCATCACCGCCAACAGTCCGGGAAGACTCCCGGACCGAAGAGCCACCCAGGGGTCACCGAAATAAAAGTATAAAGTCAAAAGGGACTATTCGGCCCAATAGAAAAGTTTTGAAGGCTCGTGAAGAAGTGCTGAGAATTAAATTGGAACTCGCACAAATTTCCTTGCAAATGGCTGAGGAAGAAGATGATTCGGACGACTATGATGAAGATGGTCACTCTAAAAGCGAGTACGTCCGATCTTGGCTCGAAAATAGCGTAGCCAAGCAAAAGCCAACTCATGGCGTCGCCACCGGAGGGGAGGCCCCACTAAACAAAACCGTCACAAGGCCACCCCCGGAGGTTGTCGACCTCAGTGAGCCACAAAAGAAGCTCACAAACAATGGTTCGAGGGTTAATGAAGAAAGGGGGCTCCTACCAATCGTATCAGAGCCCACCTACCAGGACCACGATCCGGAAGAAGTACCCAAGAATCCTGTGCCACTAAAAATTAGCCAGGAATCGAAGGTTGATGAAAACAGGGAGCTCCTACCAGCTGTATCAGAGCTCACCTACCAGGATCCCTATCCGGCAGACGTAACGAAGAATCCCCTGCCAACGAAGCCTAACCAGGCATCTGTCACAAATGAAGACAGAGGGCTCCGACCATTTATATCGGAGCTCACATCCGCTATAGCCGCACTCGCTGACAAACCAAAACCAGAGAGTGCATCGTCGCATACTTTCGCAGCGTCGAAAGCTATAATGACACTGCCGTGCTTTAGCGGAGCACATACTGAATGGCTATCGTTCCGTGCCATTTATGAAACAACCCGAGGCTACTTCAACGATATCGAAAATACGGCAAGACTACGAAGAAGTTTACAGGGAAGAGCCTTGGAGACAGTTAGTTCGGAACTCATCGGGCATGCTAAGCCAGATGAGATCATGCGAGAACTGGAGCTAAAATTTGGGCGTCCAGACTCAATTGCACAAGCTGAGACCGAGAAGTTACGAGGATTGCCACGCTGTACAGAAGCGCCTAGGGATATTTGCACATTCGCAAGCAAAGTGAGGGGAAGTGTCGTCACTCTACGGGCACTCAAACGAGACCACTATCTCATCAACGCAGAGCTGCTACGACACCTCACAGACAAATTGCCCAATTCTATACGGGCACAATGGTATAAAGTTTATACCGAAAAATACGACTCTAGGTCAGGCCTCGGTTCTTTCAGCGAGTTTATCACCGAACAAGCTCGCTACTGTAGTGCATTTGCGCCTCCCGAAATCATAAACGGGGCGCAGAACAATCGTCCAGTACATAGGACACACACGGCTACCACTAAGCCATCTCCGAAGTGCAGAGTGTGCCAAAAGGAAGGCCACTACGGATCCGACTGCAGAAAATTTAAAGAAGCGGATACCGACAAAAGATGGGAACTCGCAAAACAATATAATTTATGTTTCCGGTGTTTGCGATACAAAAACCAAACACACCAATGTAAAACCACGAAGTGTGGAATAAAAGGATGCACCGCGACACACAATAGACTTCTCCACCATTATAAAAAGGAGAAAACGGAGGTCACACAAATAGAACCTCAGGAAACAGTTGCAAATTCATTCGCCGTGTCAAAACATCACGCCTATTTAAAAATAATACCAGTCCGAGTAATTGGACCGGCGGGAGCTGTAAATACACACGCCCTGCTGGATGACAGTCTCATTAATGGATGAGGAAATAGCCAAACAAATTGGAGCAACAGGGCGGTTGGACCCCTTTAAGATCACCGCAATCGGGAACAATACCCTTGATTCGCCGAACTCCAGAAGAGTGAAAGTTTCGCTCAAGAGTCTCCATAGGAAAAGGGTACAATTCAGAGCACGCACGGTCGCCAGCCTAAACTTGGGACCACAGACTGTGTGTGCAACAGACATAGAAAATTGTAGACATCTAAAAGACCTAAAGGAGCAATTAATATATGACTCCGGCAACCCAAAGATCTTAATAGGACAAGATAATTGGAGACTCTTGATAGCCACTAAAATTCGCAGAGGTCCGCCGCACCAACCAATCGCCTCGCTCACAGAATTAGGATGGGTGCTACACGGGGCACACACTAAAGCCCCGTATCAGCGCGTCCACGCGGCCAATGAGCTGCACACGAGCGAGGAATCCATAAATGACCAACTCCGCGACTACTTCGCGCTGGAGTCTCTCGTAATCAATCCGAGAAGACCAGACTCTGATCCAGAGAAGAAAGCCGAAGACGTACTAAATAACAGCACCCGTCAGTTGGAAGACGGGCACATAGAGACGGCGCTTCTCTGGAAGAAGAAAGATGCCGAAATGCCTGGCAATTATGAAACAGCCATAAAAAGGCTCGTTTCAATCGAGAAAAAATTAGATCGAGACGAAAATCTAAAACAGAAATACAACGAACATATGAACTCCCTAGTACAAAAGGGATACGCCGAGATAGCACCAAAAACCAATACACCAGGAAGGACATGGTACCTACCCCATTTTGACGTTCACAACCCGATAAAGCCGGAGAAGTTCAGAATAGTGCATGATGCCGCAGCCAAAACAAAGGGGGTGGCATTGAACGACTTCCTGCTCACGGGTCCAGACCTACTGCAGTCGCTACCAGGGGTCATGATGCGTTTTCGTCGCCATAACGTCGCTGTCTCGGCGGATATCGCCGAAATGTTTATGCAGGTAAAAGTTAGACCCGAAGACAGAGATGCCTTAAGATATCTCTGGAGAGGGAATCGACGTAATGAGGCGCCCCAAGAATACAGGATGACGTCGATTATTTTCGGTGCAGCTAGTTCACCCTGCACAGCCATATACGCAAAAAACTGGAATGCTAAAAAATACGTTGAAAAATACCCAGAAGCCGTAGAGGCGATCATCCAAAATCATTACATGGATGACTATCTTGACAGTTTCCAGTCAGTAGAAGATGCGATGAGAATATCAAAGGAAGTACGCGATATACACAAAAACGCGCACTTCACCTTAAGAAAATGGGTTTCCAACGCGCCCGAAATTGTGAGAGAATTGGAACCTGACCGCGAGGCAACTGAGTCAGTTGACCTGAGCAACAACGAAAACGAAGAAAAAATACTCGGACTAATCTGGAAACCGAGTACCGATCAGCTGAGCTTCAATCTAAAGCTCGCTCGACTTCCGATCGACGTGCTCCATAAAAAACCAACCAAGAGGGAAGCACTGAAAATAGTGATGTCGCTGTATGACCCGCTCGGCCTCGCCTCCCCAGTTACAATTCGAGCAAAGCAAATACTGCAGGAAGCATGGAGACGAGGAACAGACTGGGACCAGGAGTTGGACGAAGACCTAACTGAACAGTGGTCCGCGTGGATCCAACACCTGAAACGACTTAAATTGGTGAGCATACCAAGATGCTACCCAGGATTCAGCAACGCATGTTCACTACAAGTCCACGTCTTTACCGATGCCAGTGAAAGCGCCTACGCAACGGCAGTCTACTGGAGGGCAATGACACCTGATGGGAAGGTACATGTAAGCCTCGTCATGGCCAAGGCGAAGGTAGCCCCACTCAAAGTAACATCCATACCTCGCCTTGAGTTACAAGCTGCCGTGATGGGAAGTCGCGTAGCTGCTGCCGTCATACAGGAGCATCGCGTAAAGCCCGAAGCTGTCACTTATTGGACTGACAGCAAGACTGTCCCCACATGGATACAAAAGGGGTCCAGAACTTATAAACCTTTTGTTGCGCACCGAATAGCAGCAATCGAGGACAATTGTAAAGTAGATGACTGGCGCTGGGTACCTACTAAACTAAACATAGCTGACACCGCCACGAGGGACGTACCACCGAACTTCGACTCAAATCATGAGTGGTACTGCGGCCCATCATTTCTGTACAAAGAACCGTCAGCATGGCCAACCGAAAGACCCACGTTATCCGAACCCACCGGTGAGGAAAAATGCCTCACCATTACAGAATCACATAGACCGGAACTTCAAAACCGGCGGGAGGCCCGTGGACGAGGCCCCATCTCCAGGGTGGAAGCTGTTTCCCCGGTGCGGACGGACAGATCCGCACTGTGGAGGTACGAACCGCGAACGGCCTAATCAAAAGGCCAACTAAGAAACTCGTGCCGCTGCCGAAGTAGAAGCAACGTCGCTCACCGAAATTGATGCAGCGCCACTACGATGAGATCTTCGCGACGCTGCACGGCGGGAGAGATGTTCGCGACGGTTTAAAGACTTTAAGCAAAAAGTGATTAAAGAATATTAAAGTGTTTTAAAAAGTGAAATTAGCGACAAAATCGAACAAATTGTGTTTTAATATAGTTTTACAGTATGTTTACAACTCGTAATATATTTGTATAAAGTATCGTTTTAATAATAAGTTGATATAAACGACTTTAAACATTAAATAAAATTTCGACCAATCACAGCGCAGCATATCGTGGAACTTTCTAGAAGTTAATTAACTGCGCAATAGTTTATATGAAAATAATGAGAATATTTTTATGGTCTGAAAGAATTGTAAATACGATATTTAGTTAGCATATGATATATAGATTGAAATAAGTAAATAGATAATTTATGTAAATAAACGCATTTGAGAAATATAGTAAAATTAAAGATTTAATGTGCACTTTTGTTATGTAAATTAGGTACATTTTGATTAATAACTTTTTTGAATGTAAATATATCAAGTAACCCTTATCACGTAATGATAAAGGACCAAAATGCCTCTTTTATAGTGTATAGCGTGTTAATGTAAAAATTAGCATTATATAGAAAAATTGCGATTTGTGCAAATTACATAATGAAAATGTTTGATAATAAAAAGGCAAAACCGGAAATTGGCAAGCGGCTCTCTATAGAGTATAGCCGAAGTCTACCTTATGGGGGCAAATCACAGTAACATTGTAGTAGGAAGAACTACCAGTAACAAGCAGTAGTATCCGGTAGTAGCTGAAGTGACTAGTAGCAGAACACAGTGAAAAGTTAAAGTGAAATAGAAAAAGTTTAGCTAGCCGAAAAAGGACGTAACTGAAAAATCGCAGTTACACATAGTCGGAAAAAGTGGCAACTGAAAATTCTCAGTTGCATATAGTAAAATAGTGTTAGCTAGCTGAAAAGAGTGGTAACTGATATTCGCAGTTACATATAGTGAAAAAGTGTTAGCTAGCCGAATAAAGTGGTAACGGAAATTTCGCCGTTACATATAGTGAAAAGTGTTAGCTAGACGGAAAAAGTGGTAACTGATATTCGCAGTTACAAAAGTGTTAAATTCAACTAATTTTAGTTGATTAATAGCTGCTAGTCAGTAGTGTTAGAAAACCAGCTGCTACCAATAGAAATTTTGGATACTACCAATAGAAATTTGTAACTTTCAATAGATATTTAAAATTACCAATAGAAATAGTAGAGAATACCAATAGAAACTTGTTACTGCCAATAGAAATTTGATATTACCAACAGATATTTTGAAAATACGAATAGAAATTTTAAAAAACCAATAGAAATTTTAATATTACTGTGTGTTTAATTAAATCTGTGTTTTGAAATATATAGTGAACAATCATAGTTGAAAAACAGTGTTAAATAAATAAATAAGTTATAATATTTCGTGACTAATTAATCAGTCGAACCGCTGGCCACTCCCTTGCTATTTTAATTTACCTTACCAGACAAATGACTTTTGTAAAATTTTATATTATACTAGATACTCGCCCTAGCTTCGCCTGCGGCGTTATACATATTTAAGATAATCAACCATTTACTTTATCTTTTTTTCCAATATCTTTTTAATATAGCCTAGATTTCTCTTCCTCTTTTTGCTCTTTATCTGATCTGATCGTTTCATTAAAATTATTTCTAAGATTAGCTCTAAACTCTAATAGATAGACAGTAAGGCAAACATTTTAAAAATCATTATTCTCTTAATTGAAACACAAAGAACTCCCTGAGCTCAATAAAATTTAGTTATTTTAATATTACAGATATATACTTCAATTTTATTTATATGTTAAAAGTTTAGTTTAGCACGAAAATTAAAGTTAAAAGTCAAACCAAGTTCAACAACTAAAAATAAACTGAAATAACTTCTACAAAGCTTTTGAAAATGGTTTTATTATTAAACCCTATGCATACATGTGAAGTTCGCCAACACGCACTAGAGCAACGCTGCGGACTGATTGCTCCATAATCCTCTTAGAAATGAGTGGAGGCCTGCCCCCAGTAGTGAAGGTATATATATAGGCTGCAACTTAACTTTTACTTTTTCCACACACCCAACTCTAGATGGTGTAATGCCTACGTTTACGTGGCCACTGTGTGGCAACAGCTCAACTTCTGTTAAAGCTAGACTCTGGATACCTGATCATCTTTATATCGATCCACCTAGTCGAGGATCCATTCCACCTACTTAGGATAAAATCCTAATTGCTGGTAATTAAAAAAAGCTATATATACTACGGCAATTTTCTACGTAGATCGCAGCAGAAAGTAGAAAAAATTACCAAAGATTATTATTTAGTATATTGGTTATCATAAAATCAACTAGCTTTTATTATAAACGATGAAATGCATAAAATATAGTAAAAAACTGGATTTTATGCATAATAATTCAACTTTGTTTTGTTATTTTTATCTTTTCATTTTTTATTTTTAATGTATTACACCCTACTGCGGGGCACAGTCAGCACAAGGAAATGTTCACCACGCTGCACCAATGCCTGTTGGACTTCACATGTCTTTGAAATTTTCTATTTTTTATTTCTTATACCTGCTATTCGCGCCGCTTGCAACTACCGCCTAACGCTTATGAAATTTGTTGATTGTTATCCAATGAGAATACTGCTATGGTCAATCCCGGGTTTTCCTATTTATCGCCTTTATGATCAGCATGTGCACTCGTGTGTTAAAACGGAATTCACAAGCTCGCAAGTCACGCAACGGATAGCACCGCTATATCTCGATTCATCACCGTGGTGTAAATTAGATATTTAACTATACAAAAAACAGTAGGTGTATAGACATCTGCAATGATGCAATATTTCACGAAAATCAGTGAAAATTATTTGTGAAGACAGCCGTTATCGTTAGCGTTACGTTAACGTTAGCGGAAGTCCAGATGAGTACACATGCCTTCCTTCCCGTCCGTCCTATAGCCCGAATTTAGGGACATTTGCAGTATCGTGAAATAATATATTCTCACCGCATCACACAATCCATAGCTAAGAGCACTCATGATTGTAATTAACAATTTTATTCGTTTTGGCGAGGATCGAACCAGGATTCCTCACGTACTGGATAATTTACAATATATAGCACGGCTCTTAAAACTTTAAACATAAATCATAATTATTTCCATTTCAACGTTAAACATTAAAGAACGGCGACATTCCAACGATGTTTTATCTGTATCCATTAATATAAACACCTCGTGCCGTCGATTTAGTTGATGGCAGTATGGTTGTCCATTAAAAGTAAAAAGCATCATCGTTGTTATTATTGTCGTGAGTAACTATAGTTGTAAAAGACTGGACTTTTGGTAGAATTCACGTTCCATTCTCACATTTTTATAGCGAATAAATGTGTTTCCCTGCATGCAAAATTGATAAACAGACGCAGCACAATATAATAAAGCGGTAGAGTTTTTTTTTGTTTGTTTAAACGCGCTAACTAATCTCTGGAACTACGAGTCTGATTCGAAAAATTATATTTGTATACTAGCTGACCCGGCGAACTTCGTACCGCCTAACAGTCGATTCTTTAATTTTTTTAATACTTATTCTGCTATTCGGGATACCGGGTCAGCTAGTGAGATAAAAAAAGAAAAAGACATTTGATAAGTCAACAATTACATTATGTCAAAAAATAAAAATTATAAAACACTATTACCAAATATTGACTTTAATATTTATACGATACTAACGTCACTCAATTGTTTTGGCTTCCCGGAACCCCTCCAATAACACTTAAACTTTATGGTATGGTATTAAAGTTCAAATTGACTTTTAAGTATTATTACGAATCGTTTGTATGGAAATATAGAAAAGTGTTGTTGAAAAAATTTAAAAAATTGCCTGATAAAGTCTAAACTTTATCAGGCAATTTTTTAAATTTTTCTCTCCGTAAGAATTATCTTCGAACTTCAAAGAATATAATAAAAAAATAATTAGCGAAATCGGTTCAGCTAGAGAGAGATTTGCGCTTAGCAACACATTCAGCGATTCATTTTTATATTATAGATAATAGCCAGATTCATAAGAAATAGTATATATAGTATAGCCATTAGCCTATAACTCTCAGCTAGCCTTAAATATTAATTTTTGTTGAAAAATTCAAAAGAAATAGCGTTATCTAACTGCTTTAGCCTCGTGCGCTGATGTAACGTTAAATACAATGTTCTACAAAAATAATCGTCTTTACTCCATGTAAAAAAAGTCCTGATACCATATGCCTATTTCTTATACACAAACCACAATAAGGTATTTTGTGCCAAAAAAATATTTAAGATTAAAAAGTGATTTATTAGGCATGGCATATTAACCCTTACGAACGAATGTTACTTCATCATCAAGACATTTTTTTAAAGATAAACTTTGCTCCGTGTAGCATGTTACGAGTATTTGGACGCATATTTTAAGAGATAATTAAAAATTAAAATAATGATCACTCTGCGCGGAGCGCGAACGACCACTTAGGTCACAGGGTAAATTGCTATTGCCGTTGCGTCGTCAGGTATTTTTTTTTTATTATTTTCTCTTAACTTTTATTTTTTAAAACGAGAACTTCCTTAACGGCACAGTATGTGTTCTATTCTATCTGTAAAAATGGCCGGTTGGATAAAAGCTTACAAGATGCCAGTGTTATGGGATGCGTCCACCATGACTCATAGAGCTCACGTAGAGGCATTAGACAGAACTCTCAGAAACAGAAGGAGGACAAATAAAGTTATGGGTGGAATTACTTTTATGTTTTCTGGTGATTTCAGGCAAACTTTGCCTGTAATAAATAGTTAGGGGAACTAGAGCAGATATTATTAAATCTTGCTTCAAATCTTCCTTTTTGTGGTAATATGTTGTATTCTTGAAGTTGTATAGTCGAGCAGTCACTAGGGTGGAGGAAACACAGAAGAAATATCCATTGACAAAGACCGTGGTCAAATCGTAGCCACCACTAAAGACCTAATCTCTAGAGTATATCCGGATGTCGCTAATATAAACTAAACAAATTATCAATGCATGTGTGAAAGGACAATTTTAGTTGCCAATAATGCAAGCGTTGACGCCATCAACGATAAAATAATGGCCAAAGTACCAGGCGACAACATAAACTACCTTGGTGTTGATACTGTCATGGATCAAGAAGACGTGGTACATTAGCCTAAAGAATTTTTAAATTCTTTGAATCCTTGTGAGCTGCCCCATATTCATTGAACTTAAAAAGTGGCACTCCCATTATTTTATTACGAAACCTGCGGCCACCAAGTTTATGTAACGGAACTAGGCTTCAAGTTAAATTTCTTAGAAATAATATCATAGTTGCTATAGTTACGACTGGGCCAGCAGTTGGGCAAACGGTAATATTATCTCGAATTCGTATTACATACTCCCACAGATTTACCATTTAGTTCTAAAAGAATACAAATTCCATAAAAGTATCGCTTGCAGTCACTATAAATAAAGCACATGTACAGACTTTCAAGCACGTGGGGATAGATTTAAGTGAATGCTGTTTTTCCCATGAGCAGTTATATGTTGCCTTGTCTAGAACAGCATGCGGTGAAAACCAATATATTTTTATACCAAATGAAAAGGTTACTAAAATTATTGTCTATGCTGAAGTACTATAAATCAATTAATTAATGAGTAATTCCTTAAATGATACGCGAGTGAAACCACGGGGCACAGCTAGTACATAATATACACACATCAACAAGAATCTAGGGATACCTCAATCCTAAATTATTTACTTCTTTATAGTTTCAACCTAGTTATGCAACCACAAGAACATAGGGTTGTTAGGGTTTTTACCTAGAGGGGGCTGCATAAGTATTAGACAGTATCCAGTAACTGTAGAGTCAGCACTTTAGGTTGCAAGAGATATCAGGCAGAGAAAAATTAAAAAATCATTTTACGTTCCCGTAAACTTGACTACCTCCTTCATTCTATTTTCAAAATTTAAAAATGTAACTAAAAACAAAACAAAATACGGCGGCAAAATTGACAGTAATTCGTTACGTCAAGGAAAATGAAAATTGTTCTATTAATATTAATTAATGAAAAGGGATTAGATTGTTTTTCTTTTTTAATTTACGTATCGTATGAGTGTTAAGAGTCATGTCACGTCGTCATTTGCGTCGACAGGGCCCCCGTAAGGGCTACTGGCGCCTGTGTGCAAAAAAGGATTTTGGCGCCCCTTAAGGCATTTTGGATCATGTTTTTATCTCAGACAAAATACTTTTTATTTTGTCTGAGGTTTTTATATATATTTTTTTAACGTAGGTAGGTAGGTGGGTGCTTGAAATAAAGCAAAAAACTGAACTTTAGAAGTCATATTTATTTGTAGACTAAAATATCAAAATGAAACAATAGAATAAAATCATAACAAAATAAATTAAAATAAATTCTTGTTCGCACCCATTTTAAAGCATTTACTTAACTAATGAAGTATAGACACGTTGTTTATAAATACTAGAAAATAACCCAAAACTAAAAGTCATATCGTTTTTAGGAACAAATAACAGAAATATTGCCTAATATCTACATATATATATATATATATATATATATATATATATATATATATATATATATATATGTAAGTACTACTTTCTAGTAATACTTAGATATTTTAAAAAATATGCAATATGCTATGTAGATACTTCTGATAAAAAATACCTAGGTAACTTCGTTATAAAATCAAAAATGATAGCTAGGTACAATAGAAAAATACAAAATAGCTATTGTAGCAGCGATATTTTCCGAGACTTTGCTACAGCATATCATTAATTACATCGCTAAAATTTATACCATCAAAAATTTCTTATTCAATTGCTAACATCGCTAGCCCAGACCATCTTTCTTGAAGCATTGTCGACTTTAAATAGTTTTTAATAATTAAAAAAAAATACAGGTAAGATCAGAAGAATTCTTAGTGAAATGCTTACGTTTGGAAAGGTGGAGATTAAATTGTTTTCAAATATTTATTGTAAAATACTTAAGGGGTCAGTATCATCAGGTAATGAAAACAACTTTAACGCTTTAATTTTATTACACAAATCATTGGAGATCTATATCCTTATTATCCTGATCTGTCAGTCGTTCTTCAAGAACAGAATAATGATTTAAAATATCGCTGTCACTTTATTTGAATATTTTGCTAAAAATTCGAAAATATCATCATACTCATTTAATAAGTCTAATCGGTTTTTATAGAGAGCTTAATGTTTGATCTATAATTTTTAAGAAAAAACTATTTTTTTTTTATAGGATAAGTGTGACAAACGAGCACACAGTCCACCTGATGGTAAGTGGTTGCTGCGGCCCATAGACATCTACATCTATCCTCTATTACAAATCAAAATGCAGATGCGTTGTCACCCGTGAGGACTAGGATGGAATGCCTCATTTCCAGTAAAAAGGGCCTCCGGCCACCTGCACTCACCAAGCGAAACGCAGAGGTAAACCTCTACTTCACGCTGGTATTCTGTGAGGTCGTGGTACCACCCCGGTTCGAGCCGGCCCATCCGTGCGACAGCAAAAGCCGCCACGTGGCTCTACCACTGATAACTAATTTTAAAGGCAGTTTTTGGATCATGAAGGGTCTCATCTCGGTGTTCATAGTCAAACAGTTTTGGTTTAAATTTCCTCCTCAACGTTCGTAACGGTGGAAAGTCTTCTTCAATTTCAAAAGAGAGTGCTACTTCTTTCGCTTGTACAAGAATTTCATCAAACGATTCGTCAGATCTATATTACTGGAAGTAATCAACGAAATTTTTAGGTAGGTTTGGCATACTTCAATATTAATTGTAGCACTTTGTATTTGTTTGCTGACAATATTTATGTCAAATAAAACGTCATGGCAAATAATAATTCCGCAAATAAATTAAAATTTTTATACAGACGTTAAGATGGGAACTCGCTTTATGTCTTGCATCAATGTGAAAGGAATTATTTTCAGCTACTTCTAGAAGACTTTCGCAAACCTTAATTAAATAAAGTTTAAGGGGCTTTATTGAATCAATTCTGCTGGACCATTTTGTCTCACTTAGAGGCTTTAAACTTAACTCAGGTTTTTTTTTCAGAATATGCCACCTTTTTGTGGATGACGAAAAAATATTATATAACTCTTGCACAAGATAGAGAGTTTATTGTAGCATCTGACAATTTAGAAGCTTCATTTACTGTTAAGTTCAAAGTATGAGCCGCACAAGGTACAAAAAGGGCTCTCGGATTGGCGTCAAGAATGCGTTTTTGAAGCCCAACATGATGTCTCTTCATGTTTGCCCCATTATCAAAACCTTGTCTCCTAATATTTTTTTATATCTAAATTTAATTTTGTCTAAATTTCTGTCACAAATGTATATATCCCTTTCCCTATAGAGTCCAGTATCGGATTAAACGCAATAAAACTTTCCTTAACTTCAACCTTTTTTGAAGTTGTGTTAAGGACAACATACCTCAGAACAAGACTAATTTGCTCAGTATGACTAGTGTCTGGTGTACAATCTAATATTATTGAAAATATCTTGAACTGCGAACCATTTCTAAAATATTATTTCTTACTTTAGACGACAATAATTCAATGATTTCATTCTGTATTTGCACACCTAAATAATGAGTCATTTTAACACATTTTGTTTGGGAGTTACACACTCGGCTAACGTGCTGTCTCATCACTGAATCAAAAGAGGCAATCATCTCAACAGCTTTTAGAAAATTTCCATTATCATGTTCGAAAAGTAATTTCGAAGAACCTTGAAATGCCAAGCACGGTGTAATATATAAATACTTAACACTCGCAATAATTCCTTTCAACACGTCACGCCAATATTTTTTTCCATTTCTAAAATCCGCGGGTGATGAGCATTAAAAGTCGTAGATGTCTCCAACAATTTTTTTAAATTTACCCAAGTGTTAATATAACTATTGTGTAAAATTGACGTTTCGTGTCTCTTTATTAGCAAAGACAAGTGTTGCCAATCAGATACTCCATTGGTATCATAAAAAGTGCTAGGAGTTTTACAAAACAACTTACAACAAAAACAGAATACAGTATCTTTAGAAATAAGAAGTTATCAGATTTCGCGTTTTAAGGCACTTAACGCAACGGTACAATTAAACATTAACTTCTCAACAATTAGCCAACCAGGCGTCTAATGTTCTAGACTACACAATTCCCCTTCGCTACAAAAATCCGTTAACAAAAATCGACACTATCGGAGGCAACCGCGCGGCTCGATTCGACTCACAGCAAGCAATTTAAATATTGCAAAATGCACTTTAACACGCAATCACTAATAGCGAATTTAAACGCGCACGAATACTAAAAATCTAGACCACCACTGAAACTGGTCGCTCGAAAGAACGCTGCAGCGGTCACTACAAAATACATGGATTAACCGTACCGCTGCTCTGAAGCTACTGTCATCAGCCCGCGCGTTGAGCGGCTGCCAGCGGCACGCGGCTGCCTCCCCCCGCCGTCGGCGTTACCTCACCTCGACATAATTCGCCAAGTCGCCATAATTTCGGGTGATTCGCTAAGTCGAAGGCGATTGGATGCCGTCTTAAAATGTCAATTTTTGGGCCTAAACAAACCCCCGTTCCGAACATAAGGACTTATATCCGCGAGCAACCGGCAAGCGGGACAGGGTCGCGACCGCACGTTGCAACACCGAATCTACAACCAAATCCTAGGCCACCTTAGACACCCCATCAGATCTTGCAACCTTAACCACCGCCTCAAAAACACAGCCCCAATGTGGGCAAGCCGGAGGGTCAAACCTCTACTGGATGCCCTTCTTGGACATTGCAGCACCTAAATAAGTCCTGTTATTGTACAGAAGTCCGACGACTTCCTTCAAACACCTATCTGTGCCCCTATGATTCGTTCCGCAATCCGACTGGATCAGGTCTGCAAACAGCGACGCGATACGAAGCGGCCCAGCGTGGCCACCTAAGCTTCAGTGCAGAGAGCACCCACCAGTTTCACATGAACGGCGTCTATGGAGAGCCAAAAGAAACGCACAGATAGTCCTTAGTATGAATTATCAAGCAAGTAGGCATAACCAAGCCATCTACTATATAATCATATACTCAATTGTGCGGCAGCTGATTTCAATCTGATAATCTCCCAACTAGCTAGCCTTTTAGATAAGCAGTCCTATGCTCATATTTCAACCAAGTTTCAAAAGCATCAATGTTCAACTACGGAATTAATTCAAACAAATTAATTTACCGATGCGCATAGATCAAAACTCACAAATTAAGCAAAACGATAAACGTAAGAGACAGCCCTATTTCTCTTTCCAAATAAATATCTTCGACAGTGCCAACAAAAATGTGAAAACAAAGAGAGGATTGCTTTTTATTTCATTCGGCACAAATAGGGTTATTCAATTTCAACTTTCTTTTCAACAAAGCAAACACAGTGATCAAATACATTTACAAAACTATATGCACACGCATTCAAAGAGCACATAATTATTACTTATTTTCTACTAACAACCGCTACAACTATGAAACATTTCGCGGAAAACCCAAAGCATTTTTATTTTTAAATTAAAGCATCATTAAGTAAGTACTCGACCAAACCAAATCTAATAGTCCTTAACAGCGTAATTCAAAGCTCCCGAGGAGCCCTAATCTTCCCACCAACCAAGTGTAGGCCACACAGCATTGTGAACCCGAATCCAATAGAGCGCGCTAATGGTCGCCACTCGGGTTGTACGCTCTCACTGAGACCGCCGGCAACAGAACAGTTTGACAAGTGGACTGTTGACGGCTTAAAGGCTCAGTGGAGGCGGCCGTGGTGGGAGCTAGGGCGGCAGCTAGCTAGGGCTGCCTCCATCAAAGGGGGGACGGTGCTACCCCAGCCGCGGCCACTCAGCTAACGGGGGTGAGAAGGGTCTAGCTGATTTCTGAGTGGCCGTGAAATTCCTCTCCACACGCTGACGACACCCCCGCCCCTGAGGAAACAACCCCCCGACTGGTTCGGGGAGGGACCCCTTTCAAACCCAGGGGCACGGTGGCCGGCAGGCGAGCGCCGAGTGTCGCTCGACAGGGGGCGCGGCTGAACGCCCCCGCCCGTGGGAGTCGAGTGCGTGGCAGAGCCCGGAGAGGAAGCGCCATTCGGGCCCAGGCACAAAACGGCATGGTGCTTGCCCCAGCAATGCGGACAGGGCCGCTGGTGCGGGCAGTCTCGCTGGAGGTGCCCTTCCAAACAAGAGTAGCACCAGCGGCGCTCCTTGGCGATAGTTCGCCTAGCCGGAACCGGCTTACCTAATAACTTCGGGCACGACATCACCCGGTGATCGGATACTCGACAACAGGAGCAGGGGGGCGCCTCCCTGGCCGCTAGGCCACTGTAAGATGGTAGGGAGCGGCGCCCTTCCACGGATGCTCCGATCGGCTTTAGGGGGGTTGACGACGACTTGCCCGGCGGATCCCGCCTCTCACTGGGCACGGCTTGTAAGTCGTCAACGGTGCCCGCCGCGTTCTCAATCTGCCGGCACTGCTCCTCCAAGAACCGCAGCAGATCACTAAAGGGCGGAATATAGGAGGCGCCGTCCCCACCATACCTCTCCTCAAAATGTATCCTAAGGTCGAGAGGCAGGCGGGACAGCACGATGTGGAGCAACAAAAAGGACCATTCGTCCACCGGTAGATCCAGCCGCCTCAACGAGTTACACGCCACCAAGACTGGATTCAAGAGGTCCGGACGTAGCCTGACCCGGTTCCTAAGCCGTGGGAGCCCTAGAAGCTGCCTAACGTATTCGTCCACAATTCGCCGGACGTTGGCGTATCTTCCGGCGAGGAGGTCCTGAGCAGTCTGGTAGGCGTCGTCCGACAATCTCAAATGGCCGACGACGCTCAGGGCTTCCCCCTCCAGTGAGGCTAGGAGGTACGCCATCTTCTGGCTTGGTGTTAAATTCCTCCGGGCGTCCACTAGGCTATCAAAAAGCCCTACAAAGGTCATCCAGTCGGAGAGGACCCCGGAGAACCTTGGCAGGTCCAGAGTTGGGAGTCGTCCCAACAGCTCCGGCTGAGTAGGCTGCTTCCGAGGGGACTCGGGCCCCAGCCTCGATCAACTCGTCCGTGAGCGAAAAGAACTGCTCGTAGTCCGCGAG